GGAGCAGGTCAAAACTCCCGTGCTGATCAGTATTATCTTTAATTTACTCTTAGCATTTCTTTATATATTCAAGATACTGTTATTGTTTGTTATATGTATTGAAAATATCTTCTCTTGTCTTTTTGCATTTGCCAAATTAAATTTTCATAAATCAAAAAAAAACAAAGAAATAAAATACTTGGAAATTAATCTAACAAAGGAAAAAAAAAGTAACTAGCCTTACAGATTCAACAAAAGGAAGGCAGATGTGATTTGTTTGATTGGCTAACAAAATGGATTCCCTGGAAATGGTTAAAAGAAATATTTCTTATGTTTGTACTCCTATGTTGTGGAATAATTTTCATTTGCTGTATCCTACCATGTATTCCCTTATGCTGTGAATATTGTAACCCTATGAGACAAAGCCATTTGTTAAACAAAGAAAGGGGAAGTGTTGGCATAAGAAAGAGTTAATATAGAGACATGTTAAATAACCTGCAGGGTATGTGGGATGAGGAGAAAGAAAACAGGGCAGCAACATCTACAGGAGTAACCAAGAACACTTGGAACTCAAGGACACCCTGTTTTTATGTCCTTGCTGCCAGATGCCTAGCAGGTTCTCACGTATAGTATAGCCTAAACATAACCTTGGACACATAAGATGGGATCTTATATTCACCTAGAGTAACCCAAAGGCTGAGACTCAAGATATGTAAAAGTAAAAACCAAAGGTGGTGTGGCAGGCTTCTGCTTGAGCCCTTTCTTTGCCTGCATGAAGTGTCTGTTTATCTTTGTTTGCAGCCAGCATCCATGAGTCTTTCTCAGCATCCATCCATTTGTCCATCTGTCTGCTCATCCATCCATCCACCCATCCATCTGTCCATCTATCTGCTCATCCATCCATCCATCCGTCTGTCCATCTGTTCGTCCATTTTTCCATCTATGTGTCCATCTTTCCATCTGTCTATCTGTACATCCATCTGCTCATCCATCTGTCTGTCAATCCATCCATCCATATATCTATTGGTTCATGCATCCATTCATCCACCAGGCCAACGATCCATCCATTTGTCTGACCATCTGCTCATCCATCCATCTGCCTGTCCATCCATCCATCTTTCCATCCATCACTCCATCTGTCCATCAGTCTGCCCATCTTTTATCCATTGCTCCATCTGTCTATTAGTCTGCCAATCTGTCCATCCATCTGTCTGTCAGTCTGTACAGCTGTCTTTCTGTCCATGTGTCTATCTGTCTGTCCATCTATCCATCCATTTCCCTGTCTATCCTTCTATTCTTCCCTCCAGTGCTAGAGATGGGACTTAGGGCCTGGCACATGCTAGGTTGGAGGTCTCATAATGGGGGATCATGAAGTCATGGTGACCTCCTATTGGGGAATTATGTGGTCAGTCTCTTCATTGATCACATCAGAGCTGCACCCCAACCAGGTGATATTATTAGGATGAATGTTGCTTCCAATATGATGTCATGGTGACCTCATAATGAGGATTAGGATGTCATGGTGACCTCATAATGGGCATTATGATGTTATGGTGACCTCATACTGGGCATTGTGATGTCAAGTTGACATCATAGTGGCACTTATTGTGTCATAGTGAATTCATCATTGTAATCATAATGTTATCACATCCTAATGGGGAAGTAGACAGTCACCATGTTGAATCATGATGTCAGAACTGAGTGCTACCCATCCAGTGTCATTATGGTGGATGTTGCTTCCAGTTTGAAGCCATGGAAACTTCCTAATTGGCATTATCGTATCATTGTGACCACAATTTGGGAATTATGCTGATGTGGTGTGCTTGAAATAGGGAACTGGATGGTCATAAAGCTGAATGGAGCTACCACAGCTGAAGTCAGGTAGTTAGAATCACTACAAAGGAAGCTGCTTTCCACACAATGCCATGGTGACCTCACAATGGGGATGTGGTCACACTGCTGACTGGTGATTTTAGACCTGTAACCCAACCAGATGATATCATTGTCTTGGATCCAGCATCTAGTATGAAGTCAAGGGAACTACATAATGGAGATAATGATGTCACACTGACCCCATAGTGGTATTTCAGGTGGCACATTGATCTCATAATGGGGATGATGTCATAGTGAACAAATATGTCATGGTGGCCTCAAATTGAGGAGTTTGATGTCATAGAGAATTTTTAATGAGAAAATGTGAAAGCACCATGCTCAGTGGTAACATCAGAGCTGTGACCCAGCCAGGGATTTCATCTTCATCTTCATAGTTGTGATTATGATGTCAACTTGTAATTGGATTATGATGACATCCTGACCTCATAATGGGAAAGTATGAAGTCATCTTGCTTAATGGTGATGTCAGAGCTTGAACCCAGACTCCTGGTGCCATCGTGGTCAATGTTCCTTCCATTTTAAAGCCATCAAAATTTCATAATGGGGAATATAACATCATAGTTACCTTATCATCACTATAATGATGATGTCATGGTGACATAATGCAGAAATATGAGGTCATAATTCTGAATGATGACATCACAACTGGAACCTGGCTGGGTGGTGTCATATGGCAAATGGTACTTCCATTATGAAGTCATGATCACTACAAAGTGGAAAACTATGAGGTCATAATGCAAAATGTTGACATCACAGCTGGAACCCAGACATGTGATTTCATTATTGTGGATTTTGCTCCTATTATAATATCACGTTGACCTCACTGGGATTATGACATCATTCTGACCTCATAATGAGGTTATGATGTCATGCTGACTTCATAACGGAGTGTGCTGAGGTCATATTGTGGTATGGTGAGTTCACGGTGAAGCCTAGGCAGGTGATGTCATAATCAGGATGGTGCTTCCATTATGTCATTGTGAACTCATTATTCAGGACCTATGAGGTCATCATGTGTGTGTGCCCATCCTGGCAGAAGTGATCAAGGTTGAGTGAGAACAGAATGTAAAGAAAACAGACAGATTCAAGAGTTGTGATTAATGAATCCAGAGATGAGCTTATTTTGCTTCAAGCTTATATGCAGAACATCTTGATCCTGTGCTCAACATTTGATCTATTTAGTTCCAAGCCTTCTTTGTTCTTCTGGGGCCTGAATAGTTTACCAAGTCCAAGCTGATAAACAGAAGACTACACATTCTGGAACACTGAGTCTGCAGTTGGCCCCTTTGCCTGAACTGGTCAAGGGAGTTATGCACAGTGCCACTTTCTACTTCCTTATCAGACTGTTCCTTCTGCATGATGAAGCCCTTCCAGAATCTGGCGTCCAACAATAATGAATATTGGTGATGTCATAGCTGGAACCTGGGCAGGTGATGTCCTCATGTTGGATGGTACTTCCATCATGAGGTCATGACAACCTCATAATGAGGAACTCTGAGGTTATAATGTGGAATGGTGATGTCACAGGTGAAAGCTGTGTGGGTGACGTCACATTGGTGAATGGTGATTTCATTATGAGATCATGGTGACCTCATAATTGAGCGCTATGTCATCATGATGCTCATCATGGTGACCTCATAATTGAGCACTATGTCATCATGGTGATGTCAGAGCTAGAACCTGGCCCAGTGGTACCATCATGTTGAATGTTGCTTCCATTATAATGTCATAATGACCTCTTAATGGGGAACTCTGAGGTCTTCATGTGGAATGGTGAGGTCACAGCTGAATCTCTGTCACTGATGTCAAAATGGTGGATGATGCTTTCATTATGATACGGTGACCTTATACTGGGCAGCTCTGAGGTCATATGGAATGATGTTGTCAGTTGGAACTAGAGTGGCTGATATCATAAGGGTGGATCCTGCTCTGATTATGTTGTCATCATGACCTGAGAATGGGGAACTTTGGTCATCAATCAGAATGACATCATAACTAGAACTCAGATGATTGATGTCACCACTTGGGATAGTGCTTTGAATATGTTATCATGCTGACCTCATAGTTGGGAATTCAAAGGTCAGCATGTGGCATAAAGAATCACAGCTTGAACTCAGGTGGCTAAAGTTATAATGGTGGATTGTGCTCTTATTATGGTGTCATAGTGGCTCATCGTGCACAATGGTGATGTCACAGCTGTAACTCAGGTGGTGATAACATAATGGGGAATGGTGCTTCGATAATTGTCATAGTGACCTCACAATACAGATCTCTGAGGTCATAGTGCAGAATGATGATGTCACAACTGCACTTCAGGTGGATGGTGTGATAAAGTTGGATGGTTCTTGCATTATGATATCATGATGAAGTCACTATGGAGCAGACTGAGGTCATCATGCAGAATAATGTAGTCAGCTACACTTGGATGGGTGATGTCAGAATAAGAAGTTTTTCAATTATGTTGCCATGGTGACCTCACAATGCAAAACTCTGTGGTCATAATATGGAATGGTGGTGTCACAGGCAGACATCAGTTTGGTGATGGCATAAAGGGCAGTGGTGCCTCTATCGTGATGTCATGCTGACCTCCTAATTTGGAGCTCTTAGATCATAATGTGGAATGATGATATCACAGCCAGAATAGTGTGGGTGATATTATTATGGGCGATGGTGCTTCCAATATGATGTCATGGTGATCTCATAATGAAGAACTCTAATGTCAATGCACAATGGTGATGTCACAGCCGGACCTTTAGAGGGTGATGTCATAATGCACCAAGTCATCCTACAATCACAATGATTTTATTTAGCTCCCTTGCCAATAACTTGGATCATCCACTGAACATTACACCTGGCCTCAGAGAAGTTGTTGAGGTGGTAAAATCGATTCCCATCTGTCACACGGCTCTTCAACATCCTGTCTGCTGCCATATGGAAGAACACCAGAGCCAGCAGGGATATGGTCAGGTCAGCGTCTGATGATCATGGATCAGGAGCCCATCACCTCCTCAAAGGTCTCCCTGGACTTGGGCAACAGCACCAAGTGCATTTCCACCATGGGGCCCACTTGCAGTGTGGATTTCAATGGTGCTGGCATCAGAACCTGCAGGGAAAGAGACTGAGAAGTGATGGTGTTACCTGGCCGAAGTGATGGTGTCACCTGGCCAAACCAGAAAACACTCTCCCCAGTCATGGGGGCACATACTTGGAATCCTGCCTCGTGGGAGGCCGATGCAGGAGGATCACCACAATTTCAAGGCCAGCTTGGCTATGCCCTGAGTTCAAGGTCAGCCTAAACTACAAAGCAAGATTCTGTCTCAAAAAGCAAAACAAGGGAGCAGGGAGATGGCTCAGTAGAATAAGCGCTTGCCTGGCAAGCACAAGGGCCTGAGTTCAATCCCTGGTTCTGGAAAACAAAACAAAACAAAACAAAACAAAACAAAACAAAACAAAACAAAACAAGAAAATGCTCTCATTACTCAGCATTACACTGAGACTCTCCTAGACCAACTCTGGTCCATTTTAGCTCAGTGCCACCAACACTACACTCTGATCTGGGTCTTATTAAACTCTTCCCAGTGTTGGGAGAGATGCCAGACTAGTCAAGGGTGAAGAGTCATGTCTGTTGCTGGGGAAACCATGACAGCTGACTCTGGATGTCTCAGAGCCCTGGGACACAAGCTGTCTGGCCAGGGCAGAGTGTGCTCCAATGACCACTGGCCACAGGAACAAGGCTGTTGGGTTCAGCCCATCTCCAGCCATGGGAAGCATGGGACTAGGCCACCAAGGGCCCAGAAACAGTGGTCTGGCTAGGGTGGTGTTCACCCAAGAGAGCTTCTCTGTTGTGAACCCTGGATACAGTGACAAAGTGATAGATTATATGTTGTTTCTCTTTGCAGGAGAACATGCCCTTCTCAGGCCTGAGGCCCAGGGCTGAACTTATGAATCAGTCTCCCTTTTCATGCCCCCCTTCAAAAGCAGACAAGCTTGTAGCCACTGAGGTGAGAACAGTGTGGGCAGTCAACAAGATAAAGGAAAGCACCCTGCTCATCAAGAGAGAAACACTGGACGGTGGTTTAGGCCCAGCACCCTTTCCTTCACAGTAGTGAGATCCTGTGGAACAAAAGGCAAAAATTCATATGCGTCCCACAAACACCCATAAGCCCCTGCTGTATGATGCCAGGCTGTAGGCTGCATGTGGGAAACACAGATTGGAAGACACAAAGGACAGTTTTAGTGACTTCCCTTCCAGGAATCTCCCTGCTTACCATCTCAGCCTCCTGTGTCCCTCCGTCTTTAGCCGTAGGCATCAAGAACACTGAACCCTCCCTCTCACTCCAAGCTTGGTCCTACCCCAGAGCCTTTGCATGACTCTATTCTGCTAGAAAGGCTCTCCCCAAGGCCTTCCCACAGCTCACTCCTACAGTTCAGGTATCACCTCATCCTTGGAAAAACATCAGGGTCACTATGCTGAAACAGTGTATTTACCCCTCACCCAGAAGATTTTATTATTGGATAAACAAGCAAGTACCTTAGCATCATGCAGCTGCAGCTCAGGGGCTGCAGTAGCTGGCGAGTGTAAAGGACAGAAAGTGACAGGCAGCAATCACGGAAGTCAGTCTGATGCTGAGGTTCCCACTAGTATACATGCCAGTCCTCTCCTCAGAGGCATCCATGAGAATCTGACCCAGGGACCAAGACAGCGATGATGGGACCCCAGGTCAGGTTCTGTCAGGGTCCAGTTGGTCATGAGGAGGCTGCAGAAAGCTCTCCTGCCAAAGCAACCATGCACCAGCTAGAGAGTCCTAAGGGACATTTCCAGCTCCAGAACATTACTGCCTTGGGGTTGATGGTGCTCAAAAAGAGTGTTTTCACAGGTTCACTTGTGGTTCTGAGGTCATCTGGACTACTAAGAACTCTCGTGGGCTTGCTGAGGTCCCGGGCTGCCTCGGGGGACCATGTGGCGGCCAGTGAGAGAAGTCTAGGCTGAGCACATGTCCCCATGACCTCACACTTCAGGACAGTGCTGGGCCTTTCCTGGGGCCTTGAAGGGCTCTGGGTCCCCTGGGGCTCCATGAAACAAAACTAGGCTCCCTGAAAGGGCCTGGGAGCCTAAATTCCCATGGGGTTTGTCTTCTGACTGAAGGCCTCCCTTGGTCTGTCACTCAGAGGAAATGATGCCTTCTCTGAATCACTTCTTGAATAAGACCTGCAGGTCCAGGAAGGTTCTTGTGACCATCCCAGCCCCAAGCTGACCTGAGATTTACATGTCTTTACATGGACAGGACAGACAGATGGATGGACAGATGGGCAGATGAATAGATGGAGAGATGAAAGGATGGATGGGCAGAGGGATGGACAGAAGGACAGACATATGGATGGAAAGACAGATAGATGGACAGATGGTTGAACAGATGGACAGATGGACAGAAAGGTGGATATATGGATGGACAGATGGATGGACAAGCAGAAGGATAGACAGATGGATGCATGGATGGACAGACAGATGGATGGATGGATGGAAAGATGAACAGATGGATAGATGGATGGACAGACAGATGGACTGGCAGAAGGATGGGCAGACAGATGGATGGACGGATAGATGGACAGATGGATGGATGGATGGATGGATGGATGGATGGATGGATGGATAGATGGATGAGTGGACAAGTGAATGGATGAACAGATGGACAGATGGATAACAGATAAATGGACAGACGAGCAGACAGATGGGTGGATGGATGGACACATGGATGGATATGTGCATAGACGGATGGATGGACAGACAGTTGGATGGATGGACAGATGATTGGACAGGACAGACAGGTGGATGGACAGACAGATGGACACACAGACAAACAGAAAGATGGACAGATAGATGAATGGACAGATCCACAGAAGGGTGGACAGATGGATGGATGGAAGGAAAGTTGGATGGACACAGATGGAAAGGTGGTGCACAGATGGATGGATGGACGAACTGACCTGCCAGACCACTGAATGGATAGATGGACAGATGGATGGATGGATGGACAGATGTTTGGACACATGGATGGATGAATGGACAGTAGATGGACGGACAGGATGGATTGATGGACAAATGGACGGAAGGACATACAGATGGATGGATGGATTAATGGATGGATGGACAGATGTTTAGACACATCGGTAGACAAAGAGACAGTAGATGGATGGACAGAAGGATGGATGGATGGACAAATGGATGGATGGACATACAGATGGATGGATGGATGAACAAATGGACCAATGGATGGACAGACAGATGAATGGTTGGAAAGGTGGACAGAAGGACCAATGCATGAACAGACGGACAGGCAGATGGAAGGACGGATGGAGAGATGGACGGATACATGGACAGATAGATGGACAGATGGATGGTTGGATGGATTGACAGATGGATGGATGGATGGATGGACAGATAGATGGACAGTTGATAGGAAGGAGAGATGGATTACTGGATGGAAAGACAGATGGATGGACAGACGGATGGATAGAGGGACAGATGGAAGGACTGACAAAAGGTCAGACAGATGGAAGGAGAGACAGACAGACACACACACTGACGAACAGACAGACAGATGGAAGAATGGAGAGAAGCATGGATGGATGGACTGATGAAGAAAAATGGAGAGATGGACAGAGGGACAGAATGATGGATGGACAGACACTTGGATGGACAGATAGATGTATGGATGGATGGACGGACAGATGGGCAGATGGACAGATGGATGGACAGATGGATGAATGGATGGACAGATGGATGGACACAGAGGGACATATAGATGAACAGACAGACGGATGGATGTATAGACGGATGGATGGATGGATGGATGGATGGATGGATGGATGGATGGACAGACTAACGGATGGATGGATGGTTGGATGGATGGATGGATGGATGGATGGATGGATGGATAGATGGACAAACAGGCAGATGGATGGATAGACAGATTTACAGATGGATGGAGAGATGGATGGACAGACAGATGGAGATGGACAAACTGAACTAACAGACCGACGGATGGATGGATGGATGGATGGATGGATGGATGGACAAATGGATGGATGATTGACAGATGGATGAACAGATGGACAGATGGACGGATGGAAAGACAGATGGACAGAAGGATGGGTGGTTGGGCAGATGGACAGACAGACAGATGGATGGGTGGACAGATAGATGGATGGACGGATGGAAAGATGGATTGACAGACAGAGGGATGGATAGAAAGGTAGATAGACAAAGGACGGATGGATGGACAGATGAATGGACAGATGGATGTAGAGATGGACCAACAGATGGATGGATGCATGGATGGATGGAGAGGAATGGATGGACAGACAGACGTTGGATGGACAGATGGACGGATGTATGGACAGATAGATGGATAGATGGACATATGGATGGGTGGACAGACAGATGGACAGGTGGATGGACAGACGGATGGATGGATGGATAGATGGATGGGCTGACAAATGGACAGAGACAGAAACATAGACAGACGGATGGACAGATGGATGGACGGACACACAGATGGACAGAGGGACAGAGAATGGATGGATGGACAGACAGGTGGATGGATGGATGGGTGGATGGATGGACAGATGGATGGATGGATGGACAGACAGAAGGATGTACAGATGGATGGATAGACAGATGAGTGGACAGATGGATAGAAAGATGGGCAGGTGAAAGCACAGATAGATGGACAGAAGGATGGATGGATAGATGGGCAGAAGATGGACAAATGGATGGACAAGCAGATTGACACATGAACAGTGGACAGACAGATGGGGCATGGACACATATACAGACGGGTGGACAGATGTATGGATGGACAGACAGACAGATGGATTGACAGGCAGACAGATGGATGGACAGATGGATGGATGGACAGATGGGTGGATTGATGCACAGACAGAAGGACGGATCAACAGACAGACGGACAGATAGACAGAAGGATGGATGGATGGATGGATGGACAGATGAATAGGTGGATAGACAGATGGACAGACATTTGGACAGAGAGATGATTGGACAGTAGATGGACACAAAAGGATGGATGGACAGAAGGATGGATG